CTAAGTTTCTGGAACCGGGAATGGGATTCCCGGTTGGTCCAATGGAATCACGTAGCCTCACAAGTTCTGAAAACTATGAACACTTCCATCCCTATAAGCAAAATCCTAAATTGCAAAATCACACAGCCTCACATTCCTATTAGCCTATAATTTGTATTTTATATGAAAATGACAAAAAACAGAGTATTGGATATTACCTTGAAGAGATGCACAAAAACAGAGCAAGAGAGGGAGATGAGAGTCGAGACTCGAGATGAGACTGCGAGAGGGAGGCGGCTAGCTTGAGCGAGAGGGACGCGACTTAGACGAGAGAGGATGGCACCGTTTGAGAGTTGAGCGAGAGGGACGTTACTTAGGCGAGAGGGGGTGGCACCATTTGAGAGTTGAGTGAGAGATGCATGAGAGGGAAAGAGCGATTAGGGTTTGTGATTGCGAAAGAGGCATGAGAGCCGAGAAGGAAAAAGCAAGCATGAGAGGCTTGAGAGGGAAAGAGTGAGTGTGATTGTAAATATGTGATTAGGGTTTCTTTAAAGATTTTTAAGAAATAAAAAAATAATTGGTCTGGGTAGGCAATTCCACCCTGCAATCGGGAATTGGAACGAAAATCACCGGTCCCAATTTTATAGAACCGGGAATTGACCGGCGCCCCTAGGAATCGCCCAGAACCAGCCGATTCGATCTAGTCCGGACAATTCCTATTGCTCATCCCTATTGTCTATGGTTTTACATGCTCTTCATTCACATTCCTCCACCTACTGACTCAAGCTTTCCGATTGGACAACTGTAACTTCGTTTTTCTTTGCCGAATTGAGTTGATTTAACAGATCAAACTAATCAATTCCACTAATCCCACCATTAGATCTACCCTCCAACCTGGACTCCTCAATTGCCAACACGTGCAACCATCTCACTTTAGGTCATCGCTCATCACCTGAAAAAAAAAACTATACTTAATTCGTCATGCGCGGTACCTGCTGGCTTGGTCATAGTCAATTATGAATAATCAAAACCTTGGTTCCACAGTTGAAATTTTAAAATAATTCCAACACAATAAGATACTAATCAAAAGTACGAAGGAGGGAATGATGGTCTTAGCTCCCCAGTCGAATAATTAGACCCCCCCTTAATCAAAATCGGAATCTAAGTACGAATTTCTCGTGGGAATTAATTTAAAAATTTCCGGGTCGTTTTCAAATTCGTCCGACAAACATTCTCTTTGATTGCTACGTTTTTCTCTCTCTGAGAATGTGGAAAACGCCACCACAAACCTCAAATCTTTTACCTAAACTGACCGACCATGTTTGATTTTGTGTTCGCATTGTCTGAGAATAATATCTTTATTAGAATAAGCTACAATTGAATAATTATAATCACAATATTCTCTCTGGCCATTGTATGCCTCGATTAATTACTCCCACGTGGGTCTTCATGGTCCTGATTGTACAACCGATTCATAATTTTTTTTTTGGAGATGACAATTTCGGGTACCCGAATCGACGAACCTACTCAAAAACCGATCCATACGGACAAAGGCCGATTGCTATTTCTCTGGGAAAGATATCGAACTGCTCGGACCCGACTCGACTCGATCCGAGACAATTTGCACCCGGAAAAGCTCGCGTTTCGGTAGCACAAATCGAAACCGATCGAAGCCCCGAAACGAAATCAAGTACAATTTCACCGAGAACCCCCCAAATTGGAGTGACCTGTATCCGATATAAGCTTGATCCCAAGAAACCCTAGCACACTATAACCTTGTATCATAAAAGTCGCATGGATTAGCTAAGTCGTATTTTAGATGAAAAATTACTAGCACATATATTTTAATAGTCCACACAACAACTATATTTTGACTATTGAGACTGACAATGATGAAGGAATCTTATTTATTTATATATTTAAAGGGAAGGGGAACCCTTGATTGATTAGGAAATCTAAAGCGAGGAATAAAATTATTAATTGCGAGGATATATTGATTTGATTTATTCTGATTATTTGGATGATATTGAATTAATGATTTTCCTGTAAACCCCCGTCAGAGCTCTCTCTTGTTTCATTATGAGACAAAGCAGGAATTTACAGAGAGTGTATCTTAAGCTGGGAATAATTAATTATAGGGAATACATGTCGATTATTCTTCTGGCAGCGTTAGCCCTTTTTTATTAATTAAAAATATTTTCTAATCAATTCTCAATGTGCTAAACTTAATGTAATCACCAAATACTTAAGTATTTTTTATTTTCCATGAAAATGAAAATGTCCTTTTCTTCTCAATTTTTTGTTTTCTTGACTTGGGTTTAGTGAGTAAAGATAAAAATTGTCAACAAAAAGGAAATTTGGGAAATTTCAGTATGGATAACAATTTCGAAAACTTATTTGGTTACAATGTTTTGAAAGTTAAGACGTGTGATTTTCAATTAATAGTGGACTAATTCCTTTTTAAATGAAATGGAAGCAATTTTTTCTTTAAAAATTTTCATTTATCAGCCATAAAATGTGGAAATAAAATATCTTATTTTCATATGAAAAGAGCTTTTAGTATGTTGTTTTTTTGAAAATAAGAAAACCCGGTCATTCTTTTTATTCCAAACTCAACACAAGAAAAGAACCGGAAGGAAGAATGGGGATAAAAACAAACCATATAGCACCAGATGTTGTCACCTTTCACTTGAGATAAACAGCATCTTCGCGTGCATGGCATGCCTGCATGCGTCATTTTAATTTGTAGATTGATATAATTTCTTTATATATCTATATATTATACATTATATATTTGTGTGGCCGGTGACAGCCAATTTGACAAGACCCAAGATTCGGTATAACCAACACAAGTTGTCTTCCAAGCTCGTAATAATATGTGTACTTGAAATTACCACATTCTCTGCTGCGATCCCTAGCTCTTCAGCTAACCCTAGACAGTACATGATTGTCCTTTTCTCTTCTTCTGTTTTTTTTTGGGTCAGAGGTTGTCCCTTTCTCTTATGAAATATACAGAAAAGAATTGGAAAAATTATAAATCGATCGGCCAATAATATAAGGAAACAAGCGACCGCCCTACACGTGCATGAGATGATGAAACATGTACTTCAACTTGGCAACGTGGAATCACATGCACATAGGCCCATAGAATTATTTTCTAAAGATCTCGCGTATCCATCGAATTCTCTATTTCTAGGTCTCTAGGCTATGTAGAGATTGTGATAATGGGATGGGGGAGAGAACGAAAATCTGTGTATATATTGAGTATATAAATCTTTGTGAATTAGTGACATGGTATAGAACTTGATTACGATGTTATGTTAGAAAATCCAATTCAAAATATTTTAGCATGTAAATCCCGTAAATAAATTACGCATGAGGGCTTAATGTGTGATTTGATGAGCCAAATGCACCATCTCAAGTTGATAAAGTTTTCCTTTTGATGATTAATTATAAAGACACAATGAAGGAAATGCGATTACATAATTCATGCTAATGAATATGAGGAAATTGTTCAATCGGTCATAAACTTATTGTACTGATGCCAATTCAGTCTTAAACTTTTTAATTTTGCTAATTTAGTCCTAAACGCTTGCGCAAAATTCCAATATAGTTATTTCGACGAAAATTGATCAGGAGTACATCGGAGTTATGCGTAAAAATTTAAGACTAAATTGATATTCGTAAAGTAAATTTCGGACTAACTGGGTAATTTTTTCACATAACACCAATCACTTTTTAAAGACAAGAAAGCAAGTTATTCATGCCATGACTAAGGAACTCATGATTTGTCTCTTTCACAGATCTGACGCGGATAAGATTGATTCATGTTGGAAATTGCATGTTGGATCTCATGTTATAAGGTGTAAAGAATCTTAGCCGCCTTATTAACTTAAGTTTAGATCTTGTCTCTCACCATGTTAATGTATGACAAGTGTTATTATAAAACCCCATCAAAATAGCCAAAGGAACATTCATGCATGACTCTGAGGAGTGAGAGAAATATCGTGAATTCTTGCTCGAAAAAAAGGGCAAAACGACTGCGAATAATGCCCGGAACATCAAGGGGATTTGTCGCATTCACATTGACTTTTTGAATATGACGCAATTACTTAAGAATATCGTTGGATCTCCCGACATTTTACTATGAATTTCCTGAGGTCCCAGACGAGGCTAATGTCATTTGCTTCACTCGACTCACTAGTAAAAGTATACACATCGCTCGAGACATGCGGTTTAGTGAAGTTCATTTATGACCATATTGAGCATTTCTCCTTATTTGAACACCAACATGTAGTATACACAACATATGACTCTCTTATCAAGTCCTCTATTCTCACTAGCATATATCGGATGTTTATTCTTCTGAGTAAATTTGGATTGCTTTGGCCACAAGGGAAAGACAACATGGAATGATCCAGGAAATGCATGGTTTGTGCAACTTCCACTCAAAGCTTAATGTTTACTATAAAGAAAAAATAAATAAATACACGTGCAATGGCAATTGGCATTGTGGCATGGAGGGGAATTATATTCTCTTTCCGCAAAAATCCATGAGGAGGAAAAGCACTATCAACGGCTGCCACACGTCCACGTGTCGGGAACCCACCTTGACCTTCGTGGTTAAGTAAAATCTCTCTCCCTTTCTCTATAAATTTATAATGTGTGGAGAGGGAAGTGACAATGATAATGCAGAAAATTTTCTTTGGAGTATAGTTTTATATAGTGCTCTAAACCCACAAGCCCCACACACATATCAACCAAAGCTCTCTTGGACCATACGACAAGCCCCCTCCATCTTCTTTCTCATGTTCCTTTTACAGATAGATTCATTCATACACAGGTACATAGAGAGAGAGAGAGAGAGAGAGAGAGAGAGAGAGACAGTTCAAGATATGCGAACTTCTCACCACCTTCCTGGGCATTTCTTTGGCAGCATCTCACACGCCAAATCCATCGTCACCGTCGCCATCGTCATCCATTGATTCTTCTGCACAGAGCACCCTTTGGCTCATAAAATACAGTCTGATCTTCATCACCTTCCTCAGATTGATTTCTCTCCTTGCACTAAGATCCAAAGGCTAGCTCGAAACAGATTTCGTTGACTCCTTTTCCTCGCTTTCCCTTTCTCCTTTAGGTGTTTGGTATTAGATCAAACTGCTAGTTTTGAAGCCCAGCTAGCTTTGGAGGGTGGATTTGATAGAGAGAACTAAAGATGGGTTTGAGTACAAAGCAAGTTTCAAACGATGGGTTTGATTGGAACCAGTCTTTATTGCAGGATCACCACCAAACCCTAGAGATTCCCAAATCTCTTCCAATGAAGAGGCCTCTGCAACACCAGAACCAGCTTCATCAGCCATCAGAGCCATTGAAGTGTCCCAGGTGTGACTCCACAAACACCAAGTTCTGTTACTTCAACAACTACAACAAGTCACAGCCCAGACACTTTTGCAAGACCTGCAAGAGGCACTGGACGAAAGGCGGCACCCTCCGCAACGTCCCAGTGGGTGGCGGTCGAAAGAATAAGCGTCCGAAACCCTCTCAACCCTCCTCCGCAGTGGCGAATTCCAGTTCTGCCACCTCACGCAGCACCTTGACCGCCAACGCCGCCGCCGCCGCCACCTCTGATGCCCCCGTTCAAGCTCGTGAAAAGCAAAAATTTCAAGATCTTCAAAGTGAAGTTTGTGATCAGAAAAACTTGAATGAAATGATCTATCAGGCATTGATTTTTCAACCACCTCCACTCGATAACTTATGCGGCAACAGTAACGTCTTTTTGGGCTCATCACTCTCTGCACCTGAAAGTGCAAGTGCGAATCTTCACTTCCCTTTGCTTCAAAGCTCAAGCCCTTTGGTGAGAGACAATTGCTCTTTGACACCGATCTCGTCCTTCGGCTTCTCATCGACTGCGGATGCTCAAACAAGAGAATACAAGCCAGTTCTTGAGGATTGCTCAACAATCAACACCACCAGTGTCCTGCCCACCTCAACATGTACTCAGCCATGGAATTTCGGCAATATTGGCATGGAGGTGATCAACAACACCAGTCATAACTGGGTTTGGGATGAGATGGATAAGTTGGTCTCTACCAATCTGAGTTTTCCGAATTGGGATGATGTTGAGAACAAACCACTGTGAGGGCAGCTTAGTTTTTCACTATACATAACCTTGGTTTTTCTTTTCTTGTTTCTTTTGGGATATATCAATGGTATGATTGATGTTTTTGAATCTCTAGAATTAAACTGTCTGTCTGTGACTTAATTCTTATAACTTGTAACAAATTTAGGCAGAGAGATAGACTAGACTGTTTGAAGCCGTCTATTTTAGTGCCTGCATCTCCAGGTCTCTCTCTCTCTCTCTCTCTCTCTCTCTCTCTCTCCATTCATGTAAGCAAAGCTGTGTATGCACGTGAGTGCATGCATGTGCAACGCAAGAATTAATAATGTATAATTTGAGTTGAGATGGGGTTTGGTTTTTCAGATGATTTTTCTTTCCTGGGGAATGTCTGTGATATTGTGGATGGTGATAGGATGGTGATTTAGATGAGTAGGGTCTTCCTCCAGCTGGAGTGGACTGACAAAATGAGATAGGAAGATTCTTTATGGATATGTGTATTCCAAGTATATATTTTGTCTTGAATAATTGAATCTTGCGAGAAGGGTTTTGTTTATTTTCTCATAATCTACTTAGCCACTTGAAGAGAGAATAATTCTTTCTGCTCCTGTCCAGACAGCTCTCTAGCTGGTTGTAAAGTAGTTAGCAACTGCAAATATATAGTTACCTTGTTCTTGTTGTGCTGCAAAGATATAAGAACCCAAATATGTCCACTCAGTCGGTCTATTCTCGATTTCGAATCTGAGTTTGATATGTTAAAGTTATCGTATAATTTTTGTCAGGAAATCGTTCGAAACTCAATTGATATCTCATGTCATTCTTGTCTTCATCTCATTTCTTGTCGTTCGTCTAATTTCCATGGCAGAAGAGACGTTAAAGATGTGCATGGCTCTTCTCAATCTAAATGTACTACTAGCAATTTGTTTTTGTAATTACATTTGTGATTGTATTATATCAACTCTTGTAAACTTTAAACATTTGACATAACTATAGTTAAGCCTGCTTATAACTGAATTTGTTTCAGAAGAATGCGTCTATTTTGTGTTGGGATTGCATGATGCATGTGGTATTATTGCCGGCTCTTTAGCAAATTGTGAGGTATAACAATTTCTAGCATATGGACCTTGGGTATAACTTAATCTATGAAGAATGAGGAGTGCTTTTGTGGATATACGATCAAAATAAGAACAATTAGAGTCGTCCTATCAACAGGATTAACCGAGTGATTAAGCATTTAATTTGAATGCTACGTATCGAGTGTTCAAATCACAGTGTTGCCATCTCAAAGCAGCAACACTTGTTGCAACTATCGTGTTATGAGTACGAAAAATAATCTACCTAGTGATGTGATAAATTCTTGTTAAGTACTTTAAGATGTCCCCATTTTAAATACTCATTTAGAATTTGATACTTGGGATTATGAATTGTTTTACAAATTAGTCCCTAAAATTACTCTTGCATATAAATGGCGGGTCACAAATTTGAGGCTTGGCAACAAGACCGATATTTAGATACAACCATCAAGTTCTTTCCTTTTTGTTTGCGTAGTGCTGTGAAGCTGTGATCAAATGATGGTACTAGGCTAATTTCATACGTACATGACTAAGATCGAAGCGATAGAAGATACGTAAGAAATTACTCCCTTTGAACTGACCGCAGAGATCGGATAGAGAAAGAATCAAATTCGAGACCTTACGCTTATTGAAATAGAAAATCACAATCACCTTACTAACAACACTATGATGTCGAGTTTATATATACCAACAGGAGTCGACGACATAGGTGCTTGCATACATGCATGAATCACTCGTCGAGACTCAAACACGCTCAACTATCAAGAGATCATCTAATCCACATTTCTACATAGGCTATGTACATAACTTGGATGCAAAGCACAAAGCTCTCATTATGGGGTGACTTGTGATTGAAATGTTCAACTAGAGAAATAGAAGGAATCTGATCCCGATATCGACCGATTGAGGATTTCCAAGCTGTGGATAGTACCACCTCCAACATCCTGCAAACACATACCAACACATGGATATACCTATTGTGAATATGCATGGTTTTTGTGTATTGTACGTGTGAACCTCGCCGGTTGGATCTGTATTAAGTGCAGGAGTTTACATTCTGGGCACCACATTGATCTAAGAAAAATTGCACTGAACCAGAAAAATTCATTGCAAATGAACTTTGAATTGACACATAATGATCCTAAAGCTAGCCAACTGCCTTCTGGTAATCCATTGTGTGGACCTGTCACTTGCACAATTTCCTTTTATAGATGATACAGCTCATTTCAATACATGATAGACCAGTAAAATGCCCTCATTTAAAAGGGCAACCATTAGGTGGAGTGCACCAAAAGGGTCATTTGTAAAACTCTGCAATAATGTTAACCTAGTCAAAAGCAAGCAATCGAAAACCATTTTTGATCCAAAAAGAAAAATATTACTACATGAACTGTAAAATTAAAGGTTAGAAAAGCTACTTTTACTTCAGGAGCGGAATTGAACAATCCCGAATGGGCAAACATCTACCAGTAACCCCACAAATGTATGCAATCAAGACAACGACCAACATGAAACCAACATTTAATTGGAACTTCCTATCATGCATACAGCTATCAATAACAATTCCCAGCCATGTTTGATGCAAGAGTTCAAAAACTACACCAAGACATTTCCTTCCACTTACCAAAATCGGCTACAGATTCCCCATCCTCACGCCGGTATCTCTGGCATAAGGTGCGACAGCTTCATTCGCTCTGGAATAGCTAACATAATAAAGCTCAGAAACGATGCCCGTGAAGATGATAAATGCAGCCCCAGCCCCAAAGACTCCTTTCCGCAAGGTCTCACATGATGGGGGGTTACTGAGAATTTGTGTAGTGTATTTGGTGTGGTAAGCATTTCTCACAGAACCAGCCAGCAAGCAAGCCTCAGCAATAATAAAGAATACCCTACAAGATAAAAGCCGAGAAAATAATCTTGGGGTCACTGCCGAAGGTCTCAAGGGGTTGACAAATATGACCAGAACTACAAAATTGTGGAGATAAGCATCATAGCATAGTGAATCAATGCTTTAGCAATAAACCCACGTCACATCTCAAGATAGGGGAATGTGGAGTTCTGGAAGAGCACGTACCAGCCAGTAATGAAGAGTACTATAGCCCAAGTCCTAGCACCACTTGGCCTCAGAGCCTTACCGCAACATAAGCATCTGCTCACCGCCACTATCAGAAGCTGACTAGCCAAAAGGAACAATAGGGATCCAATGCCTAACCCGGTTGCAATGTCCGAATCATAACGACAATAGTTTTTTCCAGCATCTTCCCCAATCTTGGCCTGCAGAAATGACATTTCCAGATGAGATCGACCAGAGTATGCAATCCACGCTACTTATATTTGTCATGACTAGTTACACACATTATGTATGTCTTATACTGCACATCTTGATATGAATTATAAGCCCAAGAATAACTTCATGAGTACTGTCGGACTGGTCTGCGACAACTGTTAAAATCCTGGTGGACATGTTCCAGAGTCTTAGCTTGACTAGGTACTGACTCCAGCTGAATGTTCATATTGCACAAAGCAACGACAGAACCATCAAAAGCTGGAAGCCAGTGACGAAAGACACTTAATAAAATTGGCGAATTGCATTTTTCCCTAAACTTGTGATCCTAGGTATGGCTGAATGTCACTAATTCGTAATAAACAGGATAAGAGAATGAGAAAACAACAGGCATCACATGAACAGAAGAGATCCTATGCAGCATAAGATGATGACTCTAAGGATCCACAAACCCTGTACAGGTTCAAACTCTTTACGGACCTATGATCTAGGCAGGGTGGTGCCTCAAGAAGGTAGAGGCAAATACTCAATTTAAGACACTTAAAGGTGCAAAAAGTGTCAGGTGGGAAGAATCATAGAGCCATCTTAACTACATATATTGTTATAATAAGAGAAAGGATTGGGCAGAACAACCGTGTGTGTCGTTGAGACCGCACACATGTATTTATACTATGTTCGAGTACGAAAGAATAGGAATTACAGGATATTACAGAATCGTCGTACATTGACATACATATTGAGACTCCAACAACAGTGCCAATCCCAAAATTGCCTATCCTCTCCAAAGAAGGAAAAACGAAAGGAAAAGGAAAGCACTTCACTGTTTCTTTCAAGCCTTCATAATCAGGTCATGGGACTTGCAATCATTTGTATAATTATCGAAGACCCTGTTAGTGCATACTCACCAGAGCGCCTTGTCTCCCTGGTGGGTAAGTTAAGCTTCATTTTATCAAGAACTTCGGGATGACTAGCCTCAATACAAGCCAAACAAGCTAATGCCAATACACTCACATCCACTACACGAAAACCACACAACTAAAGCTGCCCAGTAAGAAGAACAGAGAGGAGGAAATGCAGAAAGGGCAGTTAGTAAGGCCACTTAAGTAGTTATGCATACAGTCAGTCATTTTTGAGCTGCCAACACATGATCCAAGAAAATTATTTTTCTAGCCGATAGAATTATGATTTGGAACTTAAAAATTCAGCTCGCGAAGCCATTCCTCTAAAGCTACTACTTTCCCAAGTGAATCCTACAAATCCGTCCTTGCTCTATGGCAATCAAATATAAGCACAAGAACATCAGAGAGTGGATCTGGGAACTACCTGCACCCTCACTGACAATATACAAACAAAACAAAGTACAGGGCATGTATACTAATATAAAAAAGAGCAAGAGAAGCTGATAATTTTTGTTTCGAAATAAAAGGGAAAGCCCCACACACTATGAACTGGATCATGTCCTCCAATAAGCTCACTACAACAAGAGATAAGGCTTCAAGTTCATTTGTTAAAGAGCTAGGTTCAGCGATACTTCCACAAAATTCAATGAGAGCACTAAAACACGATCTAAGGCTTCAAGTTCATGCATTAAAGAATAAAATTCAGTGATACTTCCAAAAAGTTCACGCCAGATCCAGAAGAGAATAGATGGTAAATGGAAACAAAAGTCAAAACTAGATTTGTATCCAAAACAACATGAAATACACACCCAATACTCTAGCTCATGGATGAACATAAAAGCTACTGTGGACATATCACACCAGTATAAACTCTCAGCAAGGAGATAAAGCTCAACCAACTCCAAAAAGAGCAAAACTACACTCTATCGACATAATTCTCAAACAATTAAGCAAGTGTTCCAGCTCGAAACCGCCGGCAATTTCTCCTGAAACATCCCGAGCCCGTCTCGGACACAGGACACTCGAAGGTTTCAGCAGAAGGGCGAGTTCTAAACCGAGTGAAAGCACTCGCACGGCATCAACCTTTCACAGAACGACACATATCCAACAAATTCACAGTCACCAACTCGAGCTAGCTACACAACTCACGGAAGATTCCCACGGGAACCATCCAGGCTATCACCGGAGCCTCAGACCCAGAAGCTCAAAAAGTTCCAGCAGGACACGAACGAGCACCCCACAAAAGGGAAAGCAGAGAAAAGCCAGAGAGATGCACAGAAACAGCTAAAAAGAAAACCATAATTCTCTAGCTGAGCAACATGGACAGCGACCAACTCACGGTGTTCCGCCGCTGCTCCGCCGCGACGGCGAGCGCGAAGGCCACCAAGTCGAACACGAACACCACCACCAGAACCAGCGTCGAAGCCATCTCTCTCTCTCTCTCTCTCTCTGAGGGGAAAGCAACAGCAAAAAGTGTGTACTTTAAGCGAGTGAGAAACAGAGAGACGATAAAGCTTGCGTGACAACTTGAAAAAGATTTTCGACCAAAAAAAAAGAACTTGAAAAAGAACGGTCTTATCTTAATTAATTATGTGTGATTATGTTGAGCATTTGGTGAGCCGCAAAAAACACTATTTTCAAATAATAGAAAATATCAAGATACTTATATTTAAGGGCAGAATCCACCAAAAAAATAATATGTTATGTCTACCGCGACACATTTATTCTAAATCTTTTCTCGTGACACCAAAATTTCCAAACTTATACCAGTACGACACTCCGTCAAAGTTCTTTCAATGAAAACCGTTAAAAATCTCCTTATATGGATGCCCACGTATTCACAAAAACAACGTTTTTATTGAAAAATTATCTACGAAATATTGACAAACGGTAAATGTGTCACTTAGGTATAAATGTTGGGTTTTCTCTGGCATAAGAAAAAGCTCTAGTAAATGTATCATAGTGGGCATAATTTTGAGTTTTTGATGGTATAAAAATAAAATTCGAGATAAATATGTCACAGTAGGTATAGCTTGTGATTTTTTGCAACTTTTTTCCTATATTTAATTAAGATCAAGTGGAGTTTGTCCCCAAATAAAAAAACTAAGATAAAGTGGAGCACTTGTTGATTGCACCGTTCGCCCACAGAAAGAGAGAGGGAGCATGTAATATAATTCAAAAATTATAAAATTAAAATTAATACAAGGTTAGCGTGATAATCTAAACCAACCATGTCAAGGATTAGGGCATCTGATTGAGAAAATACATTTTCTTTTTCGCACATTATGTCATCCGAGTCGAACGTCAATATTTGGCGTGGAGTTTGCCACGTGGATTGCACTTAGCTGTGGAGGATGAGTAGATCCATTTTTAGAAAATGTTTTAAAAATCCAAAACGGTTCCCCTTAATTTAAGACGAAAGCTTCAACTTTAATTTGAACGAGACTTAAGCGCGCAAAATAAAAAAGCAAACTACATTGTTCTTGGCCTCGAAATTGGCACCTCCATCCGTACTGTAGAGGGGTGTCAATGGGTCGGGTCGGGTCGGGTTCTACTAGTGTCCGACCGGACCCGAATCATACGTTTTCAAGCTCTCTCTGGCCCAAACCCGACCCGTATTGCATAGGACCCGTACTGAAAATCCGGGTTGGGTCGGTTCGAGTTGGGTCGGTTTTTCGGGTTTCCAGCTATTTTTTTCCCGCGGGTTTGCCAAACCAGCAAACCTTTTTTAATGCTTCTTGATGACATCATGAGTATTTAAACCTATCTTCCCTCATCGACACAGGCAGACACTCTTCGGATTGTGACGTTGAATCCTCGGAGTAAGATTGCAATTTCACACTGCTATGTAATTTGTCAAGAGTCCTCCATGTAACCGCATCAGGAGCTAGACCATTCCTCTTCATTTCACCGAGAATTTGAGAAGCCTCTCTTTTCAATCCTAATTTACAGGGCTTTATCAATCAAAATGTTGCAGCAAAAAATATTCGGAGAAACCCCAGAGTCTACTAGTTAATAAAGAAAATGACAAGCCTAATTTACAGGGCATGTGGAAGGAGACGAATCGTTCCGTGAGAGAGAGTGTATCGCGAGTTAATACTTTGGGTTTTAACTCAGTTTTGGTAAAGTAACGTGTTTCGGGTTCGGTTCGTGTTATGACCCGAACCGAACCGAAACAAGTCACGATACCCATTTTATAATTGTATACCCGAACATAGTAAGACCCGAACCGAAAATATCCTAAAATTTCGGGTCGGTTCGTATTTCGGTTCGGGTATAGCGTTTTTTTTTTACACCCGTGATCAGCACGTACTCACTGTCGCAACTCCCTAGGAATCTGCAGAACGTGTGGCGTGAGTGTTGAACTGCAGCCAGCTGAATCACCTCCACTTCCCGTACTCAACAGGAGGCGATCCGAGTGGCCTTCTCAAAGCAGCCGAAGTCTTACTTCATTACAAGAAACTGTGAAGTTCCATTTCGAGATCGAGATTATACCAAACAAGAATGTATTGGTAAATTACCTGAAGATAATGATTGATGTAGACAAGAATAATAGGCCGAGGCTCCGTGCCCCTGGGGATCCTCGAGATGTGACCCTTGATCACCATACCCGGAACTCGACGAGTTCGCGGAGAAAGGGGAGGGCCATTTGCAACGGCCTATCACCAATGGAAGCTCTTTCCAGAGTAGAATTGCATCACCAGACAAAAGACATCAGTTCATGTGTACACCAGATGAAGGTAAATAATCTAAAGCACGAGTCTTGAATTGTTAGAGAAAACCTTAGCCTAATTTTGTGCATTCCCAGTTCTTGTAGATACTTGTGGACATTGTGAAGGAAGCTGTCCGAGATCAACAAAGTGTATAGTACTCTTCATAACCTGCGTGGTCGAGGAATGTTGGACTTTATTCTTTTGAGATACAGATGCTCGCAACGAATTATTCGTCAAATTGTCGTGAAAAAAACTAAAATGAGTACATAAGAAACTTTTTAAGGATAAGTTAGATCTATACATATGTGACCACGAGTCAAAACCACTGGAACAAGACACTCGAAAAGTTAACACAGCTTCTCGAAATTTTCCGCCGAATTACCAGAATCTTAAGCAGCAAGATGTTCAGAGATCCCCGAGGCTGCATCCCGCTCCATGTGCACGTGAGCCTTTCGTCCAAAAACTCGAGAAGAAGCTTGGTAACGAGAAGCACGAAAGTGGCTTCCTTGACAGCAAGCGAAAGCCGTTTGAGGTTCCGAATAAAACACGAATAATTGACGAGACAGAGGTAGCAATGAAAGCATGTGCTTGAAACTCCAATTGATGTTTAACCGACCTGCAGGAGGGCGTTCTCGACATGCTTGTGCGATGCTTCTAAAGCTGCCGTTGAGCTAAGACAGAATGTCGTCTTGGAAATCTGCTAGAGATCGGATGGATATAATGCCAATAACAATGAAGAATAGCAGTAACACCTCAAGTGGAAAATCGAAATGGAACAGAAAAAGGAACAGTCTTTTGCATCATCACCTGATCTGCTAAAGACATAACAAGCCCATCTGCAACCTTGGCAACATCGTTCGTCACGTTTGCCTTCCGGGTCACGCATGGCATGCTCCAACACCCCGTTCCCGAGTTTCGCAGGCTGTCGAAAAGCACAGATGATCATGCCCCTCGACTCGCAAAAGCAAGAAATTGATCTACATCAAAGTTTAACCTCTGATGCTTGCGCATCATTCAAATCAATCATCAACCCCATCCGCACGGTCCTCACAAAACACAATTCAGATGCACCCCTGCTTATCAAAGCCTTCACAGAGGGAACAAGCTCGTGATGAAAACGCCACGAGAATAACCAAGCTCCACTTCAATCCAGGGGCAATGACTTCTGGCATTGAGAATCGACCCCTCAGATACCCGAATCTAAACCGTTTGATCACATGAATCTCAAGTTAATTACAAATCTTATCCCGATTTTTGTTTCACTTATAAAACTTAATGAATGATAAATAATTCTCATTGTTCACGAAAAATGTTTGGACCGGTAACGAAAGCATTTTTCATACATTAGTTATTTCAAACGATACAAGCGATCGTTTTTAAAAGAATATTTTTCAAATTATTCGTTTTTCATGAAATAATCGGGCCCTTAATTTATGTCTTTTTCTTTAGCCAAATAGCGATGTAACGTTCCAAGAATTATTTATACATCCAAAACATGACAGTTCTATTAATATTCATAAAAACATATGTAATATTTTTGTAATTTTTCTCATAAGATAGCTCGAATTAGTGACAAACATTTGGTCATTAGATATTATTTGTTCTTATTAAAACAATATGTAAGCGATTCCTCTATTATGATACAATATATGTAAAATCATGATAATATCATCTTAAGATTCTCTTATAGTAAAACGACCGTCTGTGTCCTGAACCTTATAATTCCGTCTTGTATAATTAAAAGAGAGGCTCTGAATTTGTTCAGAAATAAGCTCTAGGAGAAGTTCCGGTTGAGGAGAGAGAGTCGGAAAGAATAGTTAGACCCCCCCCCACTCACGTATAAAGGAGGTTGAAGACTTGAAGTTCATGGTTAGTATGGCGGAGCTCGTAGATCTTGAACTGGTCGAGTACTTCGTCGACAATGCTGTTCCGTACGAGAAACTACTAGTGAATCCTTGCGACGAGGCCAACTAACATACGGCCCTACTGAGGTAAAGAGATTAGGGGAGTGGGGCCGGTAAGTACCAGATCCGGAATTTAATCCCCATCAACACGACACACACATATACGAAGTGAAGAGGAATGAGATCAAAAATACAAATCCATGCGACGAGACTACTCAGAAAGGATGAGGAAGAGGCGAAGAAAGTGAGAGAGCAGGTCCGAGCTACAGTTCGATGGGAAGTTACCATCAACAATTCACCTGTTGATCCTTTGGCAGTACCGGAACAGATGGCTCGACCGTCCCCTGAGGTCTGAGTATTCTCGATTCCGGCCAGGATGGTTCATTCTTTCGTGTAAACATGTCAAGCAGACAATCGACTCTAGGGTGGTGCAGCGATCCTCGTAAATTCATCTGAAGCAAACTCTGTTTCTAAGCATATATTTCCCCATTGTGTTTTAACAGAAAGAAATACAGGGTGCAACCATGAAACCTCTCAGTATATACATGGATTAAATTAGGGAAAGACAAAGGTACAGCGGTGTCGGAAAAATTACTAAGCATATACAAAGAACCTGTCGGACAGCGGAACACAGCAAGCATGCTCTAAGTGCTATTGCAAAATTTCGGCGTAAATGGGGAGCACAAAACGCCTAAAGTAGGCTCCGAGCCGAATTCACTGGACAAACTCGATTCTGCCGTATCTCGATAGGCAGTTCAATTGGAACAAATTGCAGGCCTTGTGACGGTATTGCAAACATCTGCAATCTCGCCCAACAAGGTGGATAAATCGATTTACAGCTCGCGACTACCGCTCCCCTACAGCGGCTCGAGAGTCCCACTCTTGA